CCCATTGATTAGTCTATGCCTCGTCATTTAGGGGATTTGATCCAAACTTAGTTGTGTGGGACTAAGACCCCAAATTAACATTCTCTGACAAAAAGGATGGCTTGCAGTACGGCCCGTCGTCCAGTCGACGACTAGTAGATGCAAACGTCGATTGACACATGCGATTTTCTGCAGGTGCTTGGCCAAGGTTGGGGCATTTTACGAAATTCATCTAGGGTACTAATTAAGATATGGACTGTTATTATGGGTATTTTATGGTAAATTATGTTATTAAGACTCTAAACCCTAGACTTAGACCTCATTATTCAAAAATAAAACCCCAAGATCAAAAGAGTTCTCTCTAGACCCCCATTGAAGCTAGGAGCAAGGTTGAAGCTAAGATTTGGATGTGTATATTGTTTCTCAATCAATTTCATAGATTATCTTCAATATAGGTTTTGTGCTTTATACTTGATTATTCTTCCATTCAAGGAGCCAATTTCAAAGGCTTTTTAAAAGATGTTCAGCAACATAGAAGTTCCTATTTTGAATTCTAGCCATGGGTTCTTGCATGAAAAGGTTTGAATCAATGTTTTATGATATAATTGATGGTAATTCATTGTTTAAGATATAATTGATGGTAATTCATTGTTTTAAGATCAAAAACTCCATGAAACAATGTTTTTAATGAATTCCTATTTTTGACTCTATTGTTGGTGAATTGATCATGACATGATCTTATTAAATTCATGTGTAGATTGTACTGGGTTATTGAATTATGTATAGATAATGATAGAGTTGTCTATAACCTTCCTTACAATTATTATACCTATATCGTATGTTGTTGAATAATTGATATGGGTTGGTTGTTGGCTTAGTATTGTGTACATGACTATTGGTATGAGCCTTCGTAAAGTGAATTAGTTGGAAAGGGCTAAGGAATGTTGATGATTATGATGGGAAGGTGGTAAGTTGACCAAATTCCTCTATATTGGGTAGAATTGATATTGAATTATATTTATTGATATGGTCCACTTATGGTGGAGGTGTTTATGTTATATAATCGTTATGAACATGGCCTTGTCGACATTGTTATATGAATTATGATATAATCATGTTATAGATTATATAGATGATCAAGGTGAAGGATGATAATGTGTATATGTATATGTGATGTTAAAGTTTTATTTCCTCTAAATAATTATATATGACTATGGTAGACTATGATGAGTTTCTATATGTGTTGATAGAGTATCTTATTAGGTAGACTTATTTATCCCTATATGGTACTTAAATGTTATTGAATACGTGATATGATGATGTAGTGTCTTGATTTGTAGACCTAGGTCCCTCTACTTTACACATGAAAGTTATGTGAATGTGAACTATTGACTTGGTAGGCTTAAAAACCTTTGTCATGTATGTGTATAAATGAACGATGAATGAAAGTCTAGGATAGGTATGCCTTGGATGGTGAAATTATAAGTATGACTAATATAGGACCTTGAACATGTAAAGAAGGTCAAGAACATACAACCTTGAATATAGAAAAGAAGGTAAATAAGAACCTTGAAGTGAAATACTGTAATGGTATCCTTCTTGAGTGGAATCATAGACTTAAGGATATGTTGGCTGGAATAATATGAAACCATATCTAAGGGAGTCATAAGAGATATCCTTATAGACCTTGAGTGGAAGTCCTAGGGGACCCATCCATGGTAGGGGTATTGTAATTTGGTAAGACTAAGAAATGGTACCTTCTCATATACCTTTATGTGAATGCACTTACTCAATGAGAACAAAAGAAAATCACCAAGTCAATATGTTTGTAGTAGTGACTCTACTTAAGATGAGACTAGAGTACAAAGAAACCATTGATATTCCTTAACTATGTGTAAATATGGGATGTGTCCTATTTCTACCCTTGGCAATTAGAACACCCTCCTCGGAGTATGGTAAACTTTAGATTCCATACCTAGCTAATGTGGTCTATGTCGGTTAATGACTATTATCATCATGTGGGATGTACATTCTAGTGTTGGAGAAGTTCTACAATATGTAGGTAGTAGAATGGGATGCTATCTATACAGGGCACGAGTAGGCTTTGAAGATGCTAGGATAAGTTTCCCTAGGTCATCCAAGACTATTATGTGAAGTCCTCTAATTTTTGAATGTCTCTTAAATGTCTAAATGAATATTATTGACTTAGATAATTTATGGTGAATAGAAAGGTTCTTACCTAGTTACCTTTGGGAGTTGCTTAGGTAGTCTTGAAGAGGGTGTATGGGCGGTCTCTTCATGTCACACTCAGGTGAGTCTTAGAGTAACTTTAGGTGGAAAGTATAAATGATTAAAAGAGGTGAATATGGAATTATATATTATTGTAATGTAAAAAATAATCTTACTTTAGGTAGACTTAAGGATTATTTAGGTGTGCTTGAAGAGGGTGTATGAGCAGTCTTTTGTTGTCTTACTTAAGTGATTCTTAGAATAACATTTGGTAGGGAGTCAAAATGCTTATGTGTCTTCTAAATGGTTATGGTTATCTCTTATGAACTACAGGAACATGTCTTATATGGGTATTTTGTCTTTAAAATGGTTTTTATACTTATGAGATTTATATCCAAAGAGCATAAAAGGCATGTTATAAAGTAAATGTCCGTTTTAGCATGGTTTTGTTGCATGTCACTATACTTATTGCATTCAATGTGCTAATTCCATAATGTCGTTATATTTCTACAAATGTAGGTGGCAAGTGAGGAATCTTTTGGAAGTGAAGCTTGGGAATAACATACCCTTAAGCAAATTTGGTATGTCCTCAAATGATTCGAGGACACAGTTATGTTCATTTTCCTTTTTCACAAAAACATTCTTATAGACTTTGGTTTTCCATTTTAATTTATGTAAGGGTTGTGACCATAAGATTTATATGTGTCTAACATGTCTACGAAGAGACTTAATATTTCTTATGTTTCTATAAAAGAGTTTGATTATTGTTGTGAAAAATTTTAATTCCGCACTTTCATATATATATATATATATATACACACACACACACATATATATACATATATATGTATATACACATATATATACATATATATGTATATACACATATATATACATATATATATATATACATATATATATATGTATATATATATATAGTTACGACGCGTTTTGGGTCTGGCACCCACATTTAACCTCCTAAGTGGGCGAACAAATCAATTTAACCTAATTTACAAAATACAAGCATAACGCGAAAACTCAAATGTTACTAAATATCATTTCCTAAAACCTGAAAGTCATCACATCAAGGACATCAATCTCCAATACTAAGTCTAAGAATATCAAATACACCAAAATAAAAGAATAAAATGGTATGTGTCCGAAAGTATAGGACATCATGTCATGACCGAAAGAATCCAACACGAGCTTGAATGAATAGCTCACCCTGGAACTTGATATGCGGGAGGCTGGCTAGAGCTGAGAGAAATCTGAAGTCATAGGTACACTCACTGCATTTCATAAAAGGAAAACAAAGAAAAACACAAGTAGGACTCAGTACGGGGGCAACATGTACTAAGTAGATATCATCGGCCAACTCAAAATAGGAACTAATATTCAATAAAAATAGTATGAACTCAACCATAGCACTTAACAGGTGATAAACAACAAACAACATGAACAAGCGTCAACAACATTAAAGTAAGCTCGTAATAAGTCAATGATGTCAAGATCACACATGAGGACTCATGCCTCCAAACAAAACCATTTCGAGAGTTGAGTTCTTTGAGATTAAGTACTTTCCATTAATTCAACATGTTTTTCCTTTAATATTAGTGTGTCGGAACGTGACACTCCGGTCCAAGAATAATGTGTTGGAACGTGACACTCCGATCCAAGAATATCGTGTCGGAACGTGACACTCCGATCCAAAAATATCGTGTCGGAACGTGACACTCCAATCCAAGAATATCATTAATTTATCATTTAATATCACCACTCTTCCATTCGCTAATAATATTTCATTGAGCCTTCTTTATTCAAGCCATCACTTCAATAGAGATAGTTTAAGATTATACATTCCACGGTCTCGGGATTGCAGACCAATCACAAAAAAAAATACATGACCAAGCCACACAATCACACAATCAAGTACATAGAAAACTCCACAATATCATTCAATGCATATCAGTCACTATTAAGAGTTTACTATCAAATAGCATAACCATAACCTACCTCCACCAAAGAACCGAAGTCAAGCAAGCTACTTCTCCAATACTTTTTTTTCCTCAATGTCTCCGAACGTTTTCAATCTTATCTTCAACTTTCATGAAAGAAGCAATATAATGTTGTATCAACTTTTTTATATGTTGAGCTTCCTGAGTTACCTGGAATGTCGAACACGTGTGGTCCGGTCCACTTATGTTGGCGGAGTTTATTTTATTGTCCATATATATACAACCTCCGAGAGGTCGAGTCCGTTGTGTGGCGACTTAAGGGTGCCCTAACTTCTAGGGTGCACTTCTGCAAGTTTGATTATTTTAGAAATAGTTGACTTTGATAAAATTTTGGGTATGACATAGTTTTCTCTAAATTTTGCTATCTTAAATTGCAATGCTAAGACTTTGACCTTTGCTAAGCCAAGGATAGATCCGTTGGTGTGGAGGGTGACTATATTCCCTTCCCAATTTGGATTATCTATTATTCATGCTAAGATCTTGGTAAGTAACTGAAGTTTAGTCTTTTAGACTCATCTTAGAAATGATAGTTCAATTCCTTTTAATTGAATTTGTTTTGATAGTGCATGAGTTTGTGGATATTTTCCATGTAAACCTTCCTGGGGTCACGACCGAAATATAGACCGCAGATGACTCCGACGTCGTTGACTTCTCAGAGGTCGCAGGCAAGCATACATACGTCATACTTACTTCATCTAGGTTAATTTTAGGGAAAATTTTGAACTTTTTTTTTCTTATTTCATGCGAAACATATTATAGTTACATCAAAGGCGTTCACAAATCAACTATCTAATATTGTGATAATCAAATGAAAGAAGCAGTTCATAATTGCATTAAATGTGTCCTTGCCAAAACGACACCAATAAAAAGTCTGAAATGAAATGGGAAATGAAACACTAGTGAAACATGCTCCACTAGCTAAAGCCTACATCTAAGCTAGATAATAACGGTAGACATCCTCGATAGCATGAGGGCCTACCAAGTCCGGATATAAGCTCCACGTTTGGATAACTGTAATGTTGTACCGTAAGCTCTAGCGTCCACCAGTGCCTGCACCTAAAATTAGATATTGTATGGGATTAGTACATACTTGTACTAAGTATTGGTATATGCAAGCATATACCAAGGACATGCATCAGTAAGAATAGCTCTTTCCTAACAACATGATTTGTGGAAGGTCAAGTCAGTGGACTTGCCAAATTGGATTAGGAAAGTCATGCCATGAGAGTAACATGCATCATAATACGTATCATATTGCACACAACACATAACATCTTACACATAACACATATCATATTGCATATAACACATAACATCTTTCATATAATTCGTGCATATGCCATGAACCTTTGGAATCATGGACTTGACATCAAAACTTCCCAATAATGAGGGCTCAACATATGGGACGTAAACTAGGGAGACTTCTTTATCAAACACAGAGTCTTCTTCATTCATTCATATGTATTTCACTTCATAAATTCATAAGCTAGTGTAAACACCAGCTATACCTAGGATGTAGTTTAAGACTTTCATCGGGTTCTTCCCTTTGCAATGATCAAGAATGACCTAGTGTCATTACTTAAGTCAAGATCACCTCTTGATTATCCTATCCTAACACCTTTGGTATCATTCATTTCATTATGTACATCACTTGAGGGTAGCCTCATTCATTGATTGGGAACTTTAACTTTAACCGACATAGATCATGTGAGCATTATGAATTCCAGTGTCTGCCCCACACCAAAAAGAGGTGGAATCACCGGCCAAAGTGAACCCAAAAATGCTAGCGTATATAGGGGATTGAACCCAGCTAGATCCCTATATTGGTAGTATAGGTTCAAAGACTAGGAGATATAAAGAGACCCATACCCGGCATGCCTAACATTCTCATCTCATGAGAGTTACGTGAACCTCCGCCCTTTCTGAAGGAAGGCATCATTGCTCATAGCTAGCCTATCGCTGCTCAGTATAAAGTTCTATTACATTCAACTCATACATCATGGAAGCTGGATTTTAGTATGAGGACATCATAGCTCATTAGATGATTTATCATCTCATCATTAGTATAAAGTATGCATTAACTTCAATACTTTCATTAGAGTGTTCATAGAGACTGGTCTTTTTATTAACTTTACACTCTCATAGGTGAGTACGTTTTGTTAACATTTACTTAGGCTTATTTTAGATTGCTCTCATCTTTCACATTAGCCTCTTATCATTTTGTCACCTCATTCATTAACTTTAGCACATTTGCTTTTCATAATTACTCACCTCTTTACGTGAATGTTCATTTCATCATATGCCAATGCACTAGGCCATTTAGTGTGTCTCACACTCTTACTTGACCCTTCTAGGGTTGTATCATTTCGTTACATACATCTTAAGTTCACTTACTTTAAACGTATGCTAGATTTATGGTCTATACATAAAAGTCGTGACGCTTCACTCATAGTTCATTTAAGTGATCCATATCTTCCTAAGATTGTGTGGTACAAGACTTATGCATCTTGTAAGTGTGCGAAGATCTCAATTTTGATCTATGTAGGCAACATTATTTTTGAACATTTATTCACGTATGACTTATGTATCAATACGGAATTTGGGCAAAAGAACCTGGTTTCGAATCCCTTGGTTAACACTTGTCTTTTAAATTATTTTTTACTTAACCTCACTTCGGTAGGGGACCCGAGATCGAGCCCAGTGCCAACATTTACTTTTCCTTATTTTTTATTTCTTTTTCCTTTTCGTTCATTAGGGATCGATATGTTGTGGGATTGATCCCCAACAACCTTATTTCTTTTAGTTTATTTTCCTTGACTTTTTCGAGTTGATCGTGAGGTTGTGGGATGGAATCTCCACGGCATCACTTTATTTTTTTTCTTTAGTTCCCTTAATCAGCCTAGAGGCCGTGGGTTCGATTCCCACACGCCTCCACCTTTATTTTCTTTTTAATTCCTTAAGTCTGGCTGAGAGGTTGTGGGTTCGAATCCCACTCCTCTCATTTCTTATTTTTAGAATTACATTTTCGGTCAAAGTCACGGGTTCAAATCCCCCTTACCACATTCCTTTAACGTACATTATTGTTTTGAATTTTTACATGATGAAGTCACGAGTTCGATCCTCAGTGACCTCACTTATTTTTCTTCATTTTTTATAACATGTTAATTGACTTAGCTTGACCAAAACTAACATCAAAGTGCTGGAATTTTTATCAAATTTTTGCAGCCTACTTTCTCACCTCGTTCACGTTAAATGTGTACACTTTTGTAGTAGCTTTTAACGAGTTCTTTAGGTGCATTTTGAAGATCACATTCTATAAATAGTTTGCACTCAAATCAACATTTTTTTACATCACTTATCTTGGCTGAAACTCATCAACAAGATGTTGGAAATTTTGTACGTTTTTCAGCTCATTTTCACGAATGTTTACATGTTAGTTTTTAGGGTAATTCATGGTTCATTTAGTACATCTTTAGGTACATTTTCGTGGATTCATTAAGCTAATAATTTCCATTCAAACCAGCCACATTATACTTCATATGAACATCAAGATTTATACAAGTTTGTGCATGTAAGAATACAACCATAACATGTCATTTTCGAACATCAAACTAAGAGTATATGTCACGTCTACACATTGCACACACATAAACACATAATTTCGAACAACATGCTTAAATTCACATAACTCCGAACATACATACATGAGCATAATCAACACGAAAACACATTACATCTCTAATTTCTACCAGCAAACATACCCAACCTACAAATCGACGGGAGCTAGATATAGGGAACATGTAAAGGGGAACAACCCTAGTTTTTGGAGTATATTCATTTGAGTCCTAAGGGTCTCTTGGGAAAGATACCAAGAGTAAGAAAACACATACCTTTTATGTAGTTCAAAACTTTACTTGCTTCTGAAAACCTAGTCCAAAAATCACGTCTAAATCCCCTCAACTTCAGCACCAAATCGATGGAATAATCCTCCCTTTTGCCTAACGTTTTTGATTAGCTTGTTTTTCTTATATTTTCATGTAAGTTCTTCAAGTGTGAAGAAATTTAGTAATTTTATGCTTTAATATTTTTTCTTGGAAGAGAAACGTGAAAAAGAAGAGATAATGATCGTGAAAGTGAGGTATTGACCTGAGAGAGAGAAACGTGCAAGATAGTTAGGCTTAGGTAAGGACTTAGTCAAACTAGGACTCATTCAACCCTTTAAAGAAAATCTGATTTTCCTTTTTATTAAATCGGATAATAAATATTAATTAATTAAGTTAATTTACCAATTTAAATAAAAATAATTTAAATCATTGCTTCCACCTAGGTTCGAACACGGGTGTAGCAGGACTTTACTCAAAGGCCAATTTTCGGCCCTCTCTCTCTCTCCAAAATGTCCCTCCACTTATAAGAGCATCAAATCGAAGCTAAGCATGTGACAACTATAAATGCTACATATAAGATAAATATATATATATATATATATATATATATATATATATATACCATTTTTATTTTCCAAGAAAAACTTCTACTACCTCGCAAAAGAACTTCAACAACTAAATCGAAGACACCAACTGATACAATTACATAAATTGCAAGGACTCAAGAACCACGCTTCATTACTGAAAATTAACAAACCCATGAACTAAAAATAGAGGTGTAATAGAAAACTTAAACACAGTAAGCAGATACAGGGAAGTTAGTTAGAGGGAAAATTGGTAGAAGCCAACGGCTAAAACAAGACAAAAGGAAGATAAAATTTGGGATGGGAACATACACAAAACAAGAACCAAAACTCCAAGTCCAATTCAATAATCCAAAGCAAAATATGTAGAACGAAAGCACTAGACACGAGAGAAAAAACAAAATCTTGACGTCTTAGACTCATTCATCCAACTCGAGGTGTAAGAATGAAGAACATGATGTCTAACATAAAGCATTACTACGGCTTTTACAATGAGCAAAACATATTAGGATCGATATGACATTTTGGAATCAATCACAACTATACTAAAAAAAGTGAGAGCAACAAATTCAGGGGACCAACTCTTCCACATATACATACACATTCATGAATGAGAAAAGATTAGATCATCAAAACAAAAGAATCTAACTATTACTAGAAACTTACACTAAAACGAGCAAACACAAGAAAATACAACTATATTAGCAGTGATGAATTTATATTTAAATAAGCATAGAAGGTATAAAAATCTATCATCTACAAAAACAACAAACTATAAATAGAATATGAAAGGGAACTAAACAAAATGATGTAGTATACCTTCTTTGGAGCAGCGAACAGTATGATGAACAGAAGACGACGCCTCCACCATGCCAAGTATCAAAGACAGACAGCAAATCGGAAGTTTGGACAGAGATATCGATCTAAGAACGAAATGAACTAATAATTTATCTCTTACTAATTTTTTCTCCCACCATAATCTGTCGTCCCTTACAAAGAAATGAGAAAAGGATATACATATGGAGGAAGAATTATGTCACAATTTCTTTTGAAAGGTGGGGCAAATTTGGATCCAAAACCCGGACTCATTCCGGAAGAGGAAAGGGCGAATTGATGGATCGGATGGATTCACTGTCCATGGGGAGAGACGTGGATCCATCTCAAAGACACAAGGACGGAATCACAACTTCTTTATCTGCTTTTTGCTACTGCGAATGGACAGGCCAAAGACGACAAAGGACTGACTTATGTCTTTTGCTGCTTTCCGTGTATTTTGATAGATCGTCGTTGGTCGTTGTTGTCGTTATGGGAGATTTTGTTAATGTGAAGAAGAGTAAGGAACAGTTGGGTTTCTGTGCTTTGGAGTGTTCCGGGTCAAGGATATTTGGGAATGGCCTGAGCTAAATTGAAAATCTTAGAGTGAAAAGGTTATTGGAACGATGGGTTGCTGTATAGGTTTTTGGACTGACTAAATGGGCCAACACTTTGATCATATCATAATAATAAAAAGGATTAGGAATTGGAAATATATAGTTGATCCTACAATTACAAAAAAATTCTTAACGAATTCCCCTTTAAGACCAATTAGAGTTGAGAGTTAAACCAATATGGAGTTTAATTAACGAGTTTAGTTTTAAAAAAAATTAAGTAAGACGAATTAATATAATTAGCTATCAAGCTTCTTAATCTTAACGAAATAAAATATCTAACTTCATTATGGAAATAGTTAAAGTACAAACTAATTAATCCAAAGTCATAATCATGACTAAACTAAATTAAAATATTCATCTAAAAATAAGCAATATCTTTGCTATGATTTTCATGTATTTGTAAAATATGCTAGTAATATAAAGCTGTATAAAGAAGTATTTGTTACTTAAAATATTATGAAATGACTACAATCACTCAAAGTAACCTCGAAAATGTTTGACTTTTATAAAGCTAAATCGTTTGGAATTAAGAAGCTCGTGAATAAATTTAATATCGGGGAGGGTCAGAATATGGTGTCAACACCTGCTTGTCAACTTTCAAAATTGAAGGCATTGTCCACTGAAGGCAAGTTAAGGATCTTGTTTATATATTATGCCAAAATTTTATGTAGGAACGATCTGTGAGGCACAATAAGAAAGAATACAAATCAAAGATCATCAATAATGTGAATAATATTACTTTCAATAATAGAGTCAAGATCAACAATTGAAAATAAAAAGAATTCAAAACCATAGATTTGGGGGATAAAATCTTAATATTACTAGCTGAAACGGAGGAGGTAGAGGAAGAACAAGATTTACCACTATAATAAACTTGCATACCTTAAACTCTCCTCAAATCTTGACAAAGAATTCTAACTTGATGAAGAAAGACCGAGAATTCTTTTCTTGAAATTCTTTGATTTGTTTCGTTTAAAGCCAATAAATTATGGTGCAAAATATCATTAATATTCTGAAAAAGGATAATAGAAAATATTTGGAATTTCACATAAGATCATGGGAGAGGCTTACCTTAGAGATGGAATATGAGAGTAGGAGAGCAAAACAGCTTGTAACATCTCGTGATTTGAAATAATCTAGGAAGAATCTAAGAACTCGAAATAGTCATTTTTAGAAAAAATTAAAAAACTTAAAATTTACTTGAGTTAGAAAAAGGGAGTTTTAGTCAACTTCAAACGACTATAACTAGTAGCTCAGACTAAGTTAGGTGTAGTTCCATATATGGTTTGAATGATCATTGCAACACCATTGAGTTTGCGCGATTTCGAGTTTGTATGAGTGAATTATGCATTTTCGGAGCTGGGTTGACGGTTAACGAATTGGCTAATCCATTTTTTTGAAGGGTAGTTTGCTCTTTTCCTTACCAAACTAATTCAATACATTTTTGGTTATTATTTAGGGGTATAACATGAATTAGATTAGTTTACAATTTTACCAAAAGAAGTTAGGATTTTTGAGAGACGAGAAAAAAAAAGAGGACAAAAGAGGAGAAAGGAAAAGGGCGTTCAAGATTCATCAAGATCGTCGAAGTGTAACTTGTAAATTTCATCGGGGGTGATCCCAAAAAAGTTATGTGAGTCTTCCATAATGTTGATTTCCTTCATCCACGTGCCAAGCATGTTTGATTTAGCATGAAATAGTACTAAAATGATTAGAATTTGAATATTCTTCTTGGTTGTTCTTGAATTATTTTCGTTCTTGAATATAAGTTGAGATTTAGGAATTTCCCGATGTAGAAGTATTTTTTCTTGATTTCATTGGATTAGATCCTTGTATATATGATGAGGGTACATTAATCTAAAGTGAATTTCAGAAAAAGAATAGAATTAAAATGAATCAAGGTCAGAAAACGAGAGGAAAATTCAAGAGATTTTTGCCTAAGGAACATGTTAGTGTGACGCGCCCCTATAGCGCCAGAAAGGCTGGGGTGCCACGCTAGCAATTCACCATAAAGGAGGCTTAGTCAAGTGAGGTTGGCGCGGCACGCCCCGAATGAGCTCAGATCGGCGTTTTTCATCCAGTTTTTGTAGTTCAGTTCGTTTAAGCCTTTCTAAAGTGTTTTAACAGTTACTAATGATTCTAACTACTCTAAAAGACTAAACATATAGAAATCATTCAGAAACATGCAATTACAACCTTGAATTCATAATTTCAAATTCAAGGAATGTTAAGAGCCAAGTCTTGGAAGTTCTTAGAGTCTTTTGCAAATTCTTTTAACTTTGTTTTACGACTTAAAAATCAAGTTGAGTAAAGAGTAAAGATCAGTAGAAAAAATTTATTTCAAGTTTCATAAGTATTTTACAAATGTGTTAACTTCGTTTTAAGACTTAATATTGAGTACAATTTATAGCAAAAGTGAAGTCTTTTCTTCAAAATAAATGTATGGGAAGTAAGTATTCCCAAAAGTTTAAAATGTTCTTACATTTAAATAAGAGGAAACTGAAATTCCAAAAAAACATTTGAGCAGTCTGATTACTATTTCTTTTAAGAAAAAGATGAGTTATGAGAAAGAGTTTCTAGAACATGATTAGTATCACAATTGAGTATGTCATCTATGTTTAAACAACATGATTTCTAGATATACCATCAATATTTATACAGTATGACTTCCCGAGTCATCAATGATCATATTAAAATATGATTTGATATGTTTTTGACAAAGAGTTTTGAAGAGAAGTTACCTCTTTTAAGAGAGTAGTTTGAGTAATTATCTCAAAACCAAAGAAAGAGTTTTTTTTTTACAAACTTATAAGCTATGTTTTTTAGCACTAATCTCAAATCACATAAAGAAGTTATTTTTAAAACATATGAGCTAAGTATATTTTTGAGAGTAGTAGTGAGCACCGATACGGGGATGCATATTCATATTAACTCAAATCTCCATAAACCATGTACCTATCATGGGTAGAAAAGGTTCATACTTTTTAGATGAATCATTTTCGTATAGACTAGTGGATCCACTTAGTGAGTTAAATTCTTATACCCTCAAAAAGGTATAGGATGGTCCTTGGCAGCGTGAGGTAAGGTGTTAGATCATCACTATAGATCTTAAGTGATGATTTTCTGTTAGAGAAACTCCCACAACAGTAATTGCATAGTTCCTCAAGAGATTCTGCTTAGTATTAATGGGGGTATGGGACTTCATTCATGCATTGCACAAGTATACTTTGTGAGGAAGCATGGTATGTCTTTGATTATGATTATGAGTTGACATCATGTTTAAACAATTTTGCTTTTTCTTTATATGGCACTTGTTTTAAGTTTTATAATGAAATGAGTTCAGTTAAGTATTTGTGAGTTAAAAAGAGTCAATGTAAGTGTTTCTTTCATAATATCTTTCAAGCTTATGTTGTTTTAGCATTCAAACTCACATAAACATACATTCAATTTACTGATACCAGTTGGAATACATCGTATTATAATGTAGACGTAGGTAACAAGGATCAGCATCCAGCGCGTCGTTGATTCAGTTGAACACTCCAAGGTCAGTGGTGAACCTCCTCGCATTCGAGGAGGGTTCTTTCAATTTGTTTTCCAATTTAGTTCATGTAACACCCCACAAATGTTTTTCAAGCTAAGACTCGAACTGTTCATCGTAGTGAATGACATTTTAACAAAGACTAAAAATTTACTTAGTATCAAGGTCATTTCACTAGACTTAACACCATGAGTTCCAAAACGGATTAAATTGGAAATAGCAAAATTTGAAAATTTGAAAATTAAGCTAAGTAAGATTTCAAGGTCAACTTAAATCAACCATAACTCCCAGCACAGGATGAGTTAGATGATCAAGTTTGGATGAGTGAGATATGACCTTTTGAAGTTAGGTTGTCCAATTAAGAAAAGTTAGCTGAAAATAGTGAGGGGTACTTTTATCATTTCCTTACCCAATTAGATTTAATTCATTTTTAGTAATATCTTAAGGATATAATCCTTTTACATTCAGTTTTATAATCCTAATAAACACCTAGGGTTTTAGTTCATAGTTCAAGAAGAGGCAAGAAGAGGCAAGAAGAGACAAGAAGAGAAAAAAGGAGAAAAGATGAAAGGATGAAGGTGTTCATCAACATTCTTAAGTTTAGTTGCGGATTATTACCATGGGTTTGATCCCTAAGAAGTATTTAAGATGCCATAGTGTTGGATTAGTTTACCCAGACGCCAATCATGTATTTTTTTAGTGAAATTTCATGCTTAAACTTAAATATCAGAGTTTTTGATGAGTTCTTGAAAGGTGTTCTTGAAGTTCTTTCTAAATCTTGTTGTGTTGGAGTTTTGATGATTTATTAAGATCAAATTGAGTAATTTTTGTGTTGTTTTCGGTATATTAAAGTGTAATTAAGCTTAATAATAGAATCCAAGTAATAGGGAAAGAAACAGTAACTCCCAGCACAAGATTATTTAGGTATTCTATAAGATACCATAGGAAAGATCTTTGAATTATATTTCCAATCTAAGTTTCACATCGAATGAGTGAAATATAACCTTTTGAAGTTAGGTTGTCCAGTTATGGAAAGTTAGCCGAAAATAGTGAAGGGTATTTTAGTCCTTTTCTTACCCAATCATATTTAATTTATTTTTAGTACTATTTTAAGGGTCTAATCCTTTAAGGTTAAGTTTTATAATCCTAATAAACACATACTTTAAGTTGGTAGTTCAAGAAGAGGAAAGAAGAGAAAAGAAGAGAAAAGAGGAGAAAAGATGAAAGGATGAAGGCGTTCATAGACGTTCTTAAGTTTAATTGCAGATTTTCGCCATAGGTTTGATCTTTTGAGATCAACTATTTATTTGAACTAAGTTTTAAAGAAGTAAATAAGATAATGAGAAGATCCATATACATGATTTACATTTAGTTACTTATACCTTCTAGTCGAGTCGTTCATGCCTATAAATTCCGCATGGACTCCACAAATTGAACATCATGAAATCATTCATAAATATAAGATCATGAACCTTGAATACATACTTGAATTCAAGGAAGTTAAGA